GGTTGCCTTAATTGCTTCTCTCCCTTTCATACAAAACAAGGACCTGGGAAAGAAGATGGGAAGGGCCTGGTGCAGTAGCCTAGTAGCTAAAGTCCTCACCTTGCACATGCCAGGATCCTATATGGGTGTCAGTTTATGTTCCAGTGGCCCTGCCTCCCATCTAGCTCCCTGCATGTGGCCTGGGAAAGCAGTCAAGGATGGCCCAAAGCCTTGGGACCCTGCACCCTCATGGGAGACCTGGAGGAAATTCCTGGCTCCTAGCTCTTCAGATCAGGTCAGCTCCAGCTGTTGCAGCTACTTGCGGAGTGAGCCATCGGATGGAAGATCTTCCTCTCTGTCTCTCCTCCTCTTTGTATATCTGACTTTCCAATAAAAATCTTAAAAAAAAAAAAAAAGAAGAAGAAGAAGAAGATGGGAAGGAAGGAAGTTGGAGAGAAACTTCGGGTTTTAAAGGCCTGAGCGAGTGGTCCCCACCATCAGCCTGACACTGGGTGAAGAGCTCCCCACCCAATCATGAGATGATTTCTGCTCTCCTTTCCTGTGTCCTCCCACCTCGGGCTCAGGCTAACATCTCTGTTAGGATCCAACTTCTGTCACCTGCATTCCCACCAGCTCGCTTCCAAGGAGCAGGCATCCTGGTCAGGCAGATATGTCTGTCCTGCGCATGCACCAGTGGCATCCAGTCTGAACACGAGCCTCTGGGTTTGTGGGTCTATGCTCGCCACTCTACATGAGATTCTTTCCAGATAGGCCTGGTTTCTGAGCTTTGCAGAATGAGCCAGACTTTGTATCATGTGACACACACCCCTGAGGTCCTGTCTACCAGAAACCTCTGTGAGCACACATAAAGCCCAAAGCAGGAGTCATCAGAGGTGGACAGATACGCGTTTGGGTGGCCACGCTCTCAGCTTGTCAACATGCAGCCCCTTTGGATTGTCAAAAGGGACAGTCACACCTTCTCTGCACAGGATGCTGGACCTTGTCTCTGCATGGCTGAGCCGCACTTCATTTTTCCCCAGATTACAGCTGAGTAAGGTCTTGGGAAGCTCCAGCTCGGTCAGCTTCCTCCTTTCTTAGAACAGTCTGAGTTTTTCTCATCTCATTTCGCTACCACCACCAGTTCAACCCAGCGTGCATCATCACTGTCATCATCAGCAGCAGCAAGGTTTCTGTTAACTGAATCTTCCATGTGCCCAGCAACTCCACAGCAAGGCATTATGGTCACATTTTGAAGATCAACAGGGGCTGCTATAGCCTAACCTAGAAAATTCTAGGTTGGCCCTGGTGCATCCCAGAGGATTCTCTGGTGGTGGGAAAAGGATAGTTTTCTGACCCTGAGGTGGGAAAAGGATAATTTAGATGTTAGGCTAGGGAGCAGAGACACGGAACGTAGATGCGTGAGGGGCACGTGATAGGCTCTCTGTCTCACAGCTTGGGAATGACATGGACAAAGAGCAGTGACTGCACTCCTGACTGGCCCCAGGGTGGGTCCCCCAAAATCTCTTGGGAAACAGTGACATCTCTCAACTTCCCAGACAAGTCACCAAGGGAATTTGGGTTTTGCCTGGCCAATCAGGAGACTATAGCAAACTTTCTATCTTTGACACCTGGGACAGGTCAGAAATCTTTTATTGGGAAAGCAAAATGATGGGTGAGTGGCAGGGTGGGGGTGGTAGGGAGCTACAGAGAAAGGGCTTCATTTGCTGGTTCCCTAAGTGCCCCCCAACAGTCAGGGCTGCGCCCACTGGTTAGGCCAAAGCCAGGAGCCAGGAACTCTATCCAAGTCTCTCCAGGTGGCAGGGACGCAAGCACTTGAGCCATCATCTGTTTGTCTCTCAGGAATATTAGCAGGAAGCTGGATTAGAAGCATGGAGTAGTCAGGACTTGACCCAAGGCACTCTGATACAGATAAGATCCCTAGGAGGCTTACTCTTGCTGCATGCCACAATGCACCTTGCTCCGGAGATTTCTGATTTCTAAAAAGCAAACACTCCATTTCTAAGTAGCCCGAGAAATAGTCAACAGCCTAGGTCATATGCTTGAACATATGCACATGATGGCTAAATCAAGGACAGATGAATGTGGGTGTCCTAGACAGGCTCACGGCAGTGTGCACTGCATCCTGCTTCAGCATTTGAACATAATAAAAAGAGTTTATGTTCAAAGTAAGCAAACTGGTCTTGAATGGATGTCTGAACATGACATAATATTTAAACTTATTTTCCATGACAAATGTTAAAAACTTACCATTAGCTAAAGGGTGTTAGTCACCCACACTGAGCTAAAGATGCATATAGCCATAAAACCTTTTAAGTGATCTTTTTCTTGCCATCCTACATTTTTTTTCCCTTAGGGTTTGTTTTGTTCTCCTTTTCTTGATATTCCAAGCCATATATTTTCTGGGAAGCGTAACTAGATTTTCTATTTAGATAGTATCAAAAGAGGCAGGGCCCCATGCATTATTCAGTTTGTGAATTTTGGCTGCAGGAGGCAATTGACTTCAGGAGACTGTCAGCTGATGAAGGCAGGATTGCTCCTAATGCCTGTAATTATGCTATAAAAATATCATAAGAGATAGGCTGGCATCTGCGAGGTGAGCTTTCAATGTCCATTGGAAGATGCTGTTTATTTCCGTAGAGTCCATTTTGTGCAGTGATGTGGGCTGTTTCGTGAGCAAAGCCAAGCTAGCACACCATTACTGGGGGATCATTTCAGCAAATTTTGGGTTCCTTGTGCAAAGAGCTTCTAGTTCCAAGCCTGGTAGGAAGGCATGGGGCTGGAAGACACCTGGGTGTGAACATGTGACCCTGGGCTAAAGATTTAACTTCTCCAAGAGTCTTAGCTTTTCCTTTAAAACAGCACTGATGCTTATCCTGTGGTAATTAGAAATCCTACTGAAGCTGTGAGAGCATGTTATGTGGTAACACACTGTGGAACCCTGAATGGCCTTATTAATATGACACTGAAACACAGGACTGTCAGCCAAGGCTGATATTTGAGACCAGCAGGTGTCCAGCTGCTGCTTTAAATTGCTAGAGGGTTGGATCCTTTGGGAGGTAGGTACTTGCTGGGCAGGATTCCCAGCAGAGGCTTTGCAGTCAGACTGGGCTGAGATTGTCCTCTGTCTCTACCCCACTATAGCTGCCATCTTAGAACTGCTTGGTCGCTATTCTCTGTGTCCCGTAAGGTGGTGCTATCGCCCTCTGTCCAACTCCAGGCTTCAGGCGTGATTTGCTGCTCCCAATGGCGTTGAGCTCTCTTGCAGCCTAGCTCACTGGTCCCCCTGCAGGTCACCTTCCTCTTCCCACTTTCTAGTCTACTTCAGTCTCTTCCAAGATTTAACTTCCCTGACCCCCAGGACTTGTTTAGGTGCACTTCCCAACTTCCCGTGTCCTTAGCCATACTCAACTTATCCCTGAGGCCATATACTAGTCCAGCACACTGTTGGCCAGTCAGCCTCATTTTAATACTGTTTAGTATTTTTGGGTTCCTTATGCCCAGGGTCACACAAATACAAGCAGACAGTTGCCATTCCACCTCAGCCCTGTCTGAAACCAAAAGCCCATTGCAACCCATTATAAATGTCTTTTTTTTTTTTTAATAATTTATTTGAAAGTTGGAGAGACAATGATAGAAACCTAGAGAATCTTCCATTTGCCGGTTCAATCCCCAAATGGCCTCAAACTCTGAGGCTGGGCCAGACTGAGGACAAGAGCCTGAAACTATCCAGATCTCCCACAGGAGTGGGAGGGCCCAAGAACTTGAGTCATCTTCTACTGCTCTCCTGTGTGCATTAGCAGGGAGCTGACTCAGAGCAGCTGAGATTCAAACTGGTGCTCATACTGGATGCCGGTACCACAGGCAGAGGATTAGCTTGTTATGCCATGGCATCAACTCCCTAATTGTAAATTTCTAACAGTTTACAGGGCTGAGCTCAGTTAAGTACTCAACAAATAGCAGCTATTATTATTTTATCTGACCAGATTATAAGTGTTTGCGGGGAATGAATCAAACCCACAAGTGCTAACACCTTTAGTGCAGCTCCCCCAGTGGAGGTGGGTTAATGCAATCAGACCCAAGTGTGACCTTGAGAGTAAGGACTGTGCACTCGGCTTGGGGAGTATATCCCAGAGCCCCCCGAGTGTTCTCAGTCAATGACTGCTGTGTGTTTCCTATGACACAAGCTCTGTACTGCAGAAATGCTCGCTCTCTGTTCCATTTGGCCCCTTTCTATTCCTGAGTGAGCAGGGACCACAGGGTTGGCAGTGGGAGGCCAAGAAGGAAAAATAAAGCGGGGGGGATGCAGCTGCCCTTTGATGACACACAAAGAAAACACCAGCCATCTAAATAAACATCCTCTTTATTTTACCAAATATAATTTATCAGTTAAGTTGACATCTGTCAATTCAGTTATAGTAACTATAAATAATTCTCTTTTAAGACACAATTCTGCAACTTTTTAAGGATACAAGAGTAAACCAGTATCGCTCCTTGCAGCCAGGCCAAGAGTACATGAACTTGATACAATCTGGGGATCAGAAGTGAGTCTTCTACGAAAAGAAACTTCATTTTCTCCCCTTTATGCTGACACACTCAGGGCCCGGGGTGCATCTCCCTTTCTACCTCTCAGGCCAAGGAGGACACTCCAGAGGCCTCCTGAACAGCCTGGCTGAACTTGAGATGAGGGAGTGGTGAGTGGCTGGGGCAGGGGTGGCTGGAGGTCACAGGGGGCAGAGCCTCAGGGCAGGGGTTGGGTTTGGTGCCTGTACAAGAGGAGTCCACATGCAAGTGTGCTTTGAGATGAAAGACGGCCAGAGGGATGAGCAGAAACAAGCTCAGGCTGGTGTTAATAATGAACTGTTGGATGCAACTTCCACTGCATAACCTCTAGGATTCCTTCCAGTTCTAAGGTGCCAGGATTCCAGATGGGTGGCAATGGAGGGAGAGGAAAGCCAGCGTCTGGAGGTCTAGGGCAACTTCTGGGGATAAGACACAGCGGCAGAGACAGCAGCTCCAGTCTCCTCCCAGGGTTGTGCTAGGCAGAGAAAAGCTGTCTCCAAACTGGCAGGGTTTTCTCTTTCTAGCTGTGTGGCCAAGGCAGGTGGAGGGGAGGGAAGGGGAGGGGAGAAAGGGCAGCTGAGGAGCACCAACACTGTTTGAGCACTGGGGCTGGGGGCTCTGGCTGTGGTCAGCATTCCAGAAGGAGGCTGAATATTATTGGTGCAGCAGACAGAAACACAACTGTCCAGTGAAGAAGTTTTCTCGGCCAGACTGGTAGGGGGGTGAGCTGATGAGTGTTAGGATACCCTCACAGCTGGCTACGAAGTGCCTTGGGCAGTACCTAGCACATGGCAAGTGCTCGGTCCACACTGCTCAATGAGATGCTTCAAACCATGCCTGCCACAGTACTTGCCTTGGGAAGGCCATGTGTTTGCTGAATGAGTGAACGGATGCTGGCAGGCAGGAGGAATAGAATGAGTGATTTTAGAAAAGGACAGGAGCCAAGGTGACCTCAGGATGATGTCCTCAGGAGAAAGAGCAGCCCTGCAGTACTGCTGGTTGTCCTCCTCTTCCTCCAAGCCATTTGCCACGCACCCGTGCTCTGTCCCCAGTCTCCCATCCCAACCCAGTGCCCTCCAATGGCCTCTGGCATGGGAGTGCTTAAAGATGAGTTGAGGGTAAGGGCTGAACGGGATAGATTCCATCCTCTGTGCCCCTAGGGAAGTGGGTCTTGAGCAGGGTAGGGGTGGACACTGCTCATTTCTTCCTGGAGGTGACATACAAGTGGAGAATGTTCGGTGGGGAGGGGTCGTGACGTCACTTGGACAGTCAGGCCTGGAGCATGTGCACAAACCTACCAGTCTGCTTGCCTCACTCCTTCTGAGAGCAGCAGGGGTTGGGTCCAGGGGGGCAGGGATTCCAGGGAGCCTGAAGCAACTGTTTCCTACTCAGTGTTCCGAAGTTGGTCCATTTCTACACAAGTGGATTGAGTGGCAGGAAGTGTTACTTATCCTTCTGTTCAACCAAAAAAAAAAAAAAAGGCAAAAGAAAGAAAAGAACCATAACAACAAACAAATCAATCTCCCAAAATAAAAGGCCAGAACCTACTCACAAATGGTTTCTCATTAGGGTCAAGAAGGAAGTTTGCTAAAGGCAAACCAAATGATCTCAGATCAAAAACAGAACTGCCCCCTGCCCCAATCCCCCATCACCTGGAGGCACCCACCATGAAATTGCACTTGGTGATTGTCTCAAAAAGCTCCTTGGACGCCTATCTCCGTCCATCTACCCTTCCTGAATTCTTGCTATCCAAACTTGGCTCAATGTATAAAAATTCCCATTGAAAATAATGAGAATTTGATATCAAAGTGAAGTCCTAGAAAGAGGTGGGAGTGTGGTGTGGGGAGTAAGAACAGGAGAATCAAAGAAAAAACAAATTCACATAGAAAGTGCAGAGGGAGGAGGAGATGGTGGAGTGATCAAAGCTAGTCCCCGACATCCGTGTCTCGGTCCCCAATGAGCCACAGGACATGGAAGCTGAGTGCTAGGAGCCCCGTGCCAAGCAGGTCCCCGAGGGCAGTCAAGTACGGGATGGAGAAGTTGTCTGGGTCCAGGCCCCGGCCCCACATCCAGTGCACCATCCAGTCTGCGAAGTACAGGAGAATCAGCACCTGCAGAGACACAAGGGCCCACCTGCAGCCATCCTCACATGGGGACAGTTCTCTTCCCATGCTCCCATGCTGCCAGCCTGTGTTCCGGCACCCTACACTTACCCACAGGCAGGAAGGAGGGTGCTGCTGCATGGGCTCAGCTGCCTCAGTGCAGCACTCAGCAAGCAGCTTCCTCAACTGCATTCTGTGGGCTACAGGCATTCGGCCTCCCCTGCCTCTTCATTCTTTGTTATCCTATTCTCAGCTCATGTCAATTCCTGCCATGTTGGCCTGACTACCAGCCGGTGGGGACTAGCAGGTACAGCTAGCTTTTCTTACAGGATTCCTTCTCTGGGCAGAACAGTGTAAGGACAGTGTTTGAGGTTGCTGACTACAGCACAGCTATCAGCTTAACAGGTGATTATTCTAAGCAGCCTTCTCCTGACCCCTTCTATTCTGCTGTTGTATATCCAAGTTTAATTATTAGTCCTGGCAGAGTTAAACTGAAAATCAATCATATTGAAAACTAAATATAAAGCAGACAATGCATACTAAATCAAAATACATTTTGGATTATTTGCTACTTTTTTTCCACATTTATTTCTGGGGCTGGTGTTGTGGCACAGTGGGTTAAGTTGCTGCCTGCTATGACAGCATCTCCTGTCAGGGCATCAGCTAGAGTCCTGGCTGCTCTGCTTTTTTTTTTTTTTAAGATTTATTTATTTATTATTGGAAAGGCGGATATATAGAGATGAGAGACAGAGAGGAAGATCTTCCGTTTGATAGATCACTTCCCAAGCGGCCACAATGGCCGATGCTGAGTCAATCTGAAGCCAGGAGCCTCCTCCAGGTCTCCCATGCAGGTGCAGGGTCCCAAAGTCTTGGACCGTCCTCGACTGCTTTCCCAGGCCACAAGCAGGGAGCTGGGTGGGAAGTGAGGCCGCCGGGATTAGAACAGGTGCCCACAAGGGATCTTGGTGCGTTCAAGGCGAGGACCTTAACCGCTACACTATTGCGCCAGGCCTGCCGCTCTGCTTCTGATTCAGCTCCTTGCTAAAGAGAGAAAGTAGCAAAAGACAATCCAACTGTTGGGCCCTTGTCATTTCAGGAGGATGGAAGATCTCTTCCTCTGTCTCCTCTCTGTTTCATTGCTTTTCAAATAAACAAACCTTCTGTTTCTAAATTATTTATTGGAATGGCAGCAAGTTAGAGAGTTGCTACTTGCTGGTGTACTTCCCAAAAGGCCACGGCAGCTAGGACTGGGCCAGGCTAAAGACAGGAGCCAGGAACTTAACCTGGGCTTCCTATGTGGGTGACAGGGACCCATGTACTTGAGCCATCACTTACTGCCTCCTAGGATGTGCATTGGCATGAAGCTGGAAGGGACAGCAGGGGTACAGCTCAAACCCTGGCACTCTGACAGGGGCCATGGGCAAGCCAAGTGACAGCTAAACTGTGAAGCTAAGCACCTGCTCCCACCTGCTACTCTCATCTGTTGGTACCCTGGCTTACTCTATTTTACCACAGATGATGTACGGGGGCCATGCTCAGACACAGTAAATAAAGCTGATGCCTGTAGTGCTGGCAGCCCATATGGGCACCAGTTTGTGTCCCAGTTGTGCACTTCTGATCCAGTTCCCTGCTTATGTCTGAGAAAATCAGCGGAAAGTACTTGTGGAAAGTACTTGAACCCCTGTGACCCATGTGGGAGATGCAGAAGAAGGCCCTGACACCTAACTTTGGCCTGGCCCAGTGCTGCCTATTGTGGCTATCTGGGGAGTAAAGCAGTGGATGGAAGAGTTATCTCTGGCTTCCCTTCTCTCAGTGTAACTTTGACTTTGAAATAAATCTTAGAAAAAGAATGATTTATATTCCAGTCTTGCTGGTGGGTCCAGTGGCATCAACCTTGGCTGGTTAAGAAGTGCGGAACCACAGGTCATTCGCAATCTGAACCTGCATTTCAACAAGATGTGTGTGCACTCTGAAGCTGGGGGAGCACTTGACCTAGAACTCTATGCAGAGGCTGGCCTGGGTCTTGCAGATACTTTGCACAATGCTCCTCATGCCTGCAGCTGTGGGAGAATGAGAGGGCTAAGTTCTACCAGTCATTGGTGGGGGGGGGGGGGAGATTTATTCTCAACTGTGCTTTGCAAATGCTACAGAAGGAGAATTCTGTCCTAAGGGATCCAGACAGGAACCAGAGCCCGATATCTATTTCTACACGACTCCAACTCAGTTGTTCTCTTGTCCTCTGTGCGAAGACGCCAAGGGGGATATAGGTCTAGAACCCCCATCTCATCCCTCCCCTGCCTTGACTCCACACACAGCTAGCTGCCTTGATTCTGTGGCTTGGAGCCTTGGGTGGAGATCAAGGTACAAAATCTTATATCCTTTCCAGCAGCTGTAGAAGAGCTAATGGTACCAGCTAGGGTACCATTAGGATGGATAAGAGACTTGAAGCTTACGCTTCTCACCTAGGCCCAGGGATGAATTGCAAAACTCCACTCCCTCCCCTTTCCCCTAGGGGCTGCACCTGACCCCTAGTCTTGGAAAGTGCTACCAGAGAACAGCACAAGGCTGATTTTCAGCACAGCCCTTGCAAGAGTGCTTCTCAATGCAAACATCCTCAAGCTGGGGGGTGGGGGCACTGGAGAGGGTGTTGCTTGCCTAGGGACTGGCTCAATGGAGTAACAGTACCTCCATATAAGAGAAGAGAATCAGGGCACCCTTCGCTTTGCACACTGGCATATGATGCTCTCTAGAGAAACTGTTAAATGCAAAGAGCAGGTACAGGCAGGGTATACTGTAGATTACATGTGTTCAAACCATGGAGGCACTTGAGGAAAAGATCTAAGTTTGCCTGTATAAACAAAGGAAAGGGTTTGGAGGATGGATAAATAAGGAATGGATGACACCAAAGGCCCGTGGAGGGGAGAACTGAAGTCTGGGAAGAAGGTACAAAAAGCCTTTCTTTCAGGTTGCACTATGAACCTACGTAAACTTCTACAATATGTGACTGCTAGCTATTCAAAAAACACATCTACAAAAAATTTAAAGATTTAGTAAGGCTGTTATAAGTGGCTTGAGAGCCTTGTGGTTAGCACGTAGTTCTGTCTATATCTTGATTATGGTAGTAAATTTGTACTTGTGATAAAAGAGAGAATTAAAGAGCACATGTGTATGTATACACATACAAATATTCACATGACATGATACACATGCATTCCATGTCAACCTGCGATGATCAGAATAAGGACTATGGATTTACCAAGGCCAAGTCCCTGGTTTGGATTCTATACCAAGGATGTGAGTCATCCTCTGCTGCTTTCCCAGTCCACAAACAGGGAGCTGGATCGGCATGGAACAGCTAAGAAATATGGATGCCAGCAATTGAAGGTAAAGGATTTGCCTATTAGCCATAGTGCCAGCCCCTAGATTCTGTACCACAGTCATACAGCTGTTGCCAGGCATAAAGGGATATAAGATCTCCCTGCACATTTTTTGGTGAGGGGCTTCTTATGACTATAGAGTTGTTCCAGAACAAAAAGTTTTAAAAAGTTAATAATAATACAATAAAGGAGAATGAGTCATAGCAGCTTGGGATGGCAGGGATGGATGGAGCCCTACAGATTACTTAGTGTAGTGGTCCTTATTCTTTTAAGCTGTAGAACTCTACATTCGAAGGACATTCCTAAAGAAAGCCCAACATGCAGAATAGAGCCACATGGGGGACTAGGCTAGAGGGAGTGGGTTCTATCTGCTCAGCTTCTGGTCACCTGCCTGAAAAACGGCCACCTATTGGTCCATTCCCCTCACTTTACAAGGCAGCGCTGGGCCTCAAGCAGCGACAACTGGGCCAAGACCACCAGTGTGACTCAGGTGGAATTACAGCTTGCTCTCCCGAGCCCAGCCCTGTGTGGGTGGGCTGCTGGGCCTTGGAGCAGAGGGGGCAGAGTGTCTGATGGGTCTAGCCTGAGTTTACTCCCACTTGGGCCCGGGGAAGCCCTTCCTGTGTCCTTGCCTCTGGCAGATCATACCTGGAGCAGTGCAGCTGTCATGTAGAAGATGATGAAGATGAGGGTGAGGGTGGTGTGCCCACCCTGCATACAGCTGATGGTGTACAGGAACACCAGGTGCCCTGGGACCACGAGGAGGAAGAGGACCCGAGCAGAGCGGGAATTCACATCTGGACAGGGAAGAGGGGAGAGGGCATGAAGAGGAGGAGGAGGACAGGGGAGAAACCCTCTCCAGAAGGCCCCTTCAACTTAGGAGGGAATCCTCTCCCCACCCCACCCAGGGCAAAGACCACTGACTGCCTTTCTCCTCTCGTCTCTGGCCCTCGGGGTATCCCAGGAAGAGAGCCTGCCTGGCTGGGCTCCTGTCCATGACAACAGGTACAGCCTAGCACAGGACAGGTAGACGCAGGCCCAGCTCTTGTGGTGATGCTTATTGCAGGTTCCCTCCCTCCAAGGAGGCTAACAAGCCATCATTACCAGGACTGAAGAAGGTGGTGCAAGGACTGGGACAGCGACGCGGGGCTTGCTCTGAGTTCTCCCCTGGCATCCCATTCATGTGCAGGAAGGTGGAGATGCGGCTGGCCTGCACTGCCACCAGATTGCCCCCGACGCCTGCAGGGGCACACAGGGGCTTAGACTGTGAAGTGCTGGGGAAGAGCAGGCAAGAAGCGATCCTCCTGTTATCTTTCATCTGGAGCGGCTCTGTCCCTGTCTTAGGCTTGGGGATTAGTGGGTACCACCCCCATTCCTGGTCCCCAAGAAAACAGCGAGACTCTGAGAAGGAAAAACAAGGAAGTCTCCTGGGCTCCTCCATGAACGTGTGGCAGTGCCATAGGTCTGGCGGGTCTGTGAGAGGGCTGGAAAGGACACAGGAGGAGCTGTAGATTTAAAGAGCCTGCTTTCTCTGCAGGTGCAGCCTTGCCCCACCCCTCCCTGCGCTCCGAGCAGCTCTGGACACGTGATGCTCATGAGCTGGATGCAGTGGCGCTTGAAGCTCCAGGTTTGAGCTCCAAACCCTGGGGTCAGGAGCCTCTCCAGAAACTGCACTTGTTCCTGTTAGCCCTTGCACCCCTACCTTGCCCCTGCCCTGAGCCCTGGAGGCCGAGCATCAGAGCCTGCCCCTCATTGCGCCTCACCCCACCTCCCTTCCTGGAGCTGGATCAGAGGAACAGAGAACAAAAGAGGTCATCCCTCCCACATTCCCTCCTCCTGAGGAGAGCAGCCCTCACTGGGTTCCTCCCCGTGAGTCTTCAGGACTTGCGCTTCCCACTGCCATGAGCTTCAGGTACCTCAACATCTCTTGTTCCTTTTTTCCCTGCCCCACTTCCCTTTATGAAAACTGAAACTGTGTGGATTCTCTTGCCTGGGGAACCCTCACTGACACAAGTGCCAAACCCCCAAACTCTTTTCTCTTCTTGCCCCTTCCCTCCCAGCAACTGCTGTTGAGGCCTCACCATTGATGACGGGTGTGAAGACAGCCATCCCTGCGAAGTTGGGGTCTGAGACAGTCTTGTCCAAGATGAGGCCTCCCACACTGCAGGGGCACAAACACACAATGACACCAAGGCTGCTGGTGGGCTCTGCTCCCGAGACGACAGGCACAGGCCCAACCTGCCTTGGGGACAAAGCAAAGCATGGTGGGTTCCAGGAGTCCCTCCACTGGCAGTCTGTGCCTCCTTTGCCAGAACCACTTGCCCCCAGCATCCTGACCTGATTTGGTAGCTCCAGAATGAGCCGGTGATGTTGTCCCTGCCCTCTGTTTGGCTCCAGGAGCCACTCACAGGACAACCTGCCAGGGAAGGTCTCTGATCTGCCTACCCAGCATTTGTTTTCCCTTCTGGCAATGGCACTGAGCTCCAGGAACAGGTTCAGGTGACACTGCTTCAATGATGGCCCAGGCATAGTCAGCTGACCACATGAGAACTAAGGAAACTCTGTTTTGGGACTCTGTGAAACTGCATGTGGATGTGTGTGTGAGACTGATCTCCACTGTTTTCTCTGGAACTGGTGGGAATAAGCAAAATGTAAATGGGACTGTGGGCCTTCCCAGAAGAAAACAGAGCTGAGAAATGCAGAGTCCTGGGGCCCAGATGCTATGATGCATGACCCAGAGTCCAGCGGTGCCTATTTAGGTCTCGAGGCCAACGCAGCTACTTTGGGAGGGAACTGGATCAAGCTGGTTTCTATCACCTGATACAAAACACCACGTGCCTGCTCCACTAACTACTGAACATATTTCTAAGACTAGACTCCTACCTTCTTGCTTTGGGGCTTAAATAGTAGTCTGGGGCAGGGTGGAAGGGGAGTGGAGGAAGCTATGCTCTGGGACCAGGCCCACCTGCTGATGGCCATTGCAATGATGACAGGCTCCCAGCCTGAGTACAACACCTCCCTTGTGGCTGGGCTGCGTCGGGCCAGCACCACCCAGACAGGCAGCAGGGCCACGAAGAAGGCACACACCAGCGGGTAGATGTATCGCCAATGATCTGAAAGGGCAGAGAGCAAAAGGTGTTGAGCATTTTGGCCCCTTCTCCCAGCTTCCCATCTGGCTCAGCTGCATGGTCAATGGCATCTCTGTACAATGCTCATGAACACCCAGTCTCAGTGGACTCTCGCAGTAAGCCCAACAGGTGGGTGAGGCCAGCCCCATCGGCTCCAAGGTCAAGGCGGCCAAGCAGAGAGCCATCTAGGCTCTTGATCTAACTCAGAAATCCTCATCTCCCATCCTGTCCTCATCATGCAAGCAGACTCCATTCCTTCACGCTCTCCACAACCCCTTCCAAGGGAAGCAAGGATCCACAGGACCAAGCAGGAGGATATTTCTGGTACTTTTGCCTCTGCCCCTGCTGCCTGCTTGATTCTGGGATGAGACCTTTTTAGCCTCATCTCTCTCTGATTGGTTTAAACAAACTAAATTAAAGCAGTTAAGAACACAGAAGTTATTGTACTCTTGCAAAGTGACTCCATCTCTCCAGATCCCACCCAATGGGTCCACCTGAGGCCCCCTCCCGCGGACTACAGACTCACTCAGTTCCAGGTAGAGTCCCCAGCTGATGCCCGACAGCAGCGCTAAGGTGATGAGGTCCCCCAGGCTGGCAGCAATGGGTGTGGCCACATTATCTGGATTGATTCCAATCTTGCGAGAGCCAATGATGACCCCAATCATGATCATACCTGGTGAAGAAAAGGAGGTGGGCCAAGTAAGGCAAGAAGGGTTAAAGGAGTTTCACCAATAAACCAAAGGAGAGGCAGGAGGGGCCGGGTGCAGGTGACCCCTCTGGGGCAGCCCTCCTTACCCCCATCCTCTTCCCTTGCTTACCCAGCACCAGCGAGGCAATGAAGGCTGTGGCCACACTGCTGGCACAGAGCAGGAAGGCATGTGGGATGCTGAAATGGCCATCAGGGATCCAGCCAAAGACAACGGCGGCAATGGATGCCAGGAAGCCGACGACTGTTGCCTGCACCTGTCGGGAGGAGTGGTGACCACCCAGGAGTGCAGTGCTTCTCAACGGAGGTCACAGAGCTCTTAGGCTGACTGCCTTCCTGGCCCTCAGCAGTCCCAGGGGGCAGGCAGGACAGCACTGTCCAGTTAGCCCCCACCTCCCGCCCCAGCTGGAAGGATGTGTGTTTGTTTAGTTTCACACCAGACACTAGAACTAAGCCATGCACTCGGTGGGGGTCCCGGGGCATGTCACTGACTGAATGGGTGTGAGGGGAGGGGTCCACGGGGTTAGGTCTTGAAATCAGAGTCAAGGCCTGGAAGACTTGACTGTGGCCCAGGACACGTGAGAATCCAAGTCTGCTCCCACTGCCAGATCTGTGGAGACTCAGCCCTTGTACCACCTGCTGGCTGTTTTCTGGGCAACTTTCTAGAGTGTCCCTGGGGGACACCAGCTCAGTGGGGTGTTGGAGCTTCATTCAGGAGCTCTCAGAGACTCCTGACTTGGGGGAGCAGGGAACTTGGCCCACCCTGTCTGCCCTGCCCTCTTACCTGGATGAGGGCCATGTTCCCCGTGATCATCCGCCAGAGTTCCTTGGGCGTGTCCATGTGTCCAATGTTGGCCTGGGAGAGAAAGGGCAAGGGGCTGGAGTTACCGACCAAAAAAAGTTGACAGCTGAAACAGGCCCCTCCCTGGATAAGGGGACAGACACGACCACCAGAGGGAGTAGGGTAGGATCAGGGGAACTGGGGTGAGAGGGGAACAGGTGAGGCGCCTCCAGGGCACCCACCTCTTTTTCTCTCATAGCTGTCCTGTTGGGCAGAAGAGGCCCTTGGCTGCCCTGCTAAGCTGGGTAGCCCTTCCCTAAATGGATTACAATGGCCCACTCCCTGGCCCTGAAGCCAGTTTGCTTTCCTAGGGGAGGACAGGTCAACAGCTGGCATGGGACCAGGGCCACAAGAGTGTTTGGGAAGGCACGGGTGGTAGGGACCAGGAGGGGTAGTGCAAGTCAGGGGGATGTTTCTCCACCATCTTCTCCGCCCTTGGCCAAGCAGGAACACCTGTGGTTTCCTGAATTATATCACTCCTGACCTCGTACCCCAGAACTCTATATGTGACTGAATCACTGCATTAGGGGAGATCTCAGGGGTTGGGAATGGAGAGTAAGGAATGAAGAGCAGCCCCTTCTCTGTCTCTAGCCCTTTAAAGAGCAACTGGCCACGGAGACAGGGAATGGGCTGAGAGGGTTGGGGGGGCCCTGGCCCTGCTCCTGGCCAGCTGCAGAGCAGGGCTGGAGATCAGAGGAGGCCCCCATCTGTGCGGCTGGACAGAGCAGCAGGATGCCCGCCTGTCAAAGCTGCACAAACAGTCACGAGGTGGGTTGTAAAGTAGGGGGGTGGGGTAGCAGTCCATGGACGCAGGCACATCCAGAAAGCAAGTCTGGGAATCACCTTGGGCAGGAAGCCCCTGCCTATAGCAGGACACCAAATCCAGCCAGGCCCTCCTGCTGCTACCCTGACTCCATGCTCCCACAGGGGGTGGGGCTTGTGGAGGGGGCCTGCCAGGATCCCTCGTGGGGCACCTCTGTGTTGCCCAGGGGCCCTTTCTGGGCCCTCTCCTCTTGGCCAGGATACTCACTGCCGTGGACAGCCTAGAGGCCAGGGTCATTTCCAGGTTCCCCTTGAGTCCCAGCAGTGCAGGCACCAGGATGAAGACTTCCGTCACCTTCTGGAAGACTTCCCAGTGCTAGAAGGTGAAAAGAGAAGCTAGGCATTATAGTGCCCAAAGCATGGGTAGGGACATCCAGCAGATAGTTGGAGACAAGGGGCTTGGGGAGGAAACAGTAACAGCTAGGACCCTGCCTGGGCTCTACTTCCTCTGCCTGTATTCCCAGAGCCAGGGGTGGGAAGAGTAGTGGACCCCCATGGGCTGGCTTACACTCTAGATTTCTCTGTAACCCCCATGACATTGCATGCCCCAGCCTTTGCCTTCAGTCCAGGTCCTCTGCAGCCTCAGCCTTGAGTGGTGTTGTGTCAGCTGCAGGGCTGGGGCCAAGGAGTTTACACTTTGTTTGGTTTCTATCTCCCCGAGCTTTGGCCGCAGTCACAGCAGCCCTCATTTGGAAGGGCTCGGTGGCCCCTAATCCTCTGCCTACTACCCAGCCAGAGCCTTTCTATGCCTCCTTTGCACTCCCTTACCCCACACAACTGCCCCAGCCTCTCAGAGAGAAAATGCAAGTATACCTCCATAAGAAGAGTCCAGAGCTGATGTCCACACAGTTGGGTTTTGGTTGCCAGCCCACCAGCTGCAGTAACCCCATCAGCTTCTTAGCCTAATTTTTACTAGGTATTGGCTATACACCAGGTTGGGTCCCTATGTGTATTTTCTCATTTCATCACCTCAGTCACCCAATGAAGTATGGGTTATCTTTATCCCTATGGTGCAGATGAGCAAACAGGTTCACAGAACATTGTTTTCGGTTAGTGTAAGAGGGAAAAGATGTAAGAGCTGGGATTGGCTATCTGTAAGTTCCTCTGCTTGTAACTGGTACTGCAGACTTGCACATGAGGCTGGGACTGTAGCTCCCTTTCTGTGTGCTGGGACAAGCAGGTTTTATTTGTTCTTTGTTTTAAGAATGGAAAACTTCTGGGTCTGGAGAGGCAGATGGGGACAGGAGGCTTGCCCTGGCTGGTGTGGGTACCATCACGACTGTGGGCACATCATTGCAAGGTCCAGGGCATTGGACTCCAAGCTTCATGTCTCCTGTAAGACTGCTGCGAGGGGCCTCATGCTATCTCCCCACATGCCTCCTTATGTATACCAGCTGGGGACTTCAGACAAGCCACAGGGCCTCAAGCTCCTGCCTGACAAGTGTCCAATTCAGTAGTCTGATCAGACAATCCCTTAAAGGCAATTTCAACAAGATGAGCAAGGCTGCAAATCAACAGGACAGTGATATACCATCACACACCTGTTAAGATGGCTACCGTGACAAAAACCAGGGAGTTACACATGCTGGCCAGGACCCAGACCAGACCTAGACTGGAACACATGCATACTGCTGCTGGGATAGTAAAGTGGCCCAACTTGTATGGAAAATCATGTGGCAGTTCCTTAAGAAGTTAAAAACAGAACCACCATGTCCCATGCTGTGGTGCCACTGATACACTGGTCATCCCATAAGAGTGCCAACTGCTCCACTTCTCACCCTGCTCCCTGCTGGGAAGGCAGCAGAAGCTGGTCAAAGTGCTTGGGTCCCTGCCATCCCTATGGGAGATCTGGATGGTGGTTTGTGGCTCCTGGCTCTGGCCTGGCAAATACCTGGCTGTTTTTGCTATTTGGGGAGTGAACTAGTAGACAGAAGACTCTCTCTTTCTCTCCTTAGCTGTCACTTTGCCGTTCAAATAAATAAATTTTCAAATGCAAAGAACAACTGATTCATCCAGCTCTCCCACTCCTGGGTGGTTATCCATAAGAACTGAGAGTAGGTGTCTGCAATGTTCACATACCCATGGGCACAGCTGCACCATGCACAACAGGCAAGAGGTAGAAGCTACCTAAGTGATCCTGGCCAGACAAGTAGATACACAAAATGCAGTTGTATATAAATCAAATGCAGTGGAATATGATCCAACCTTCAACAGGAAAGACACCCTGCCACACGCTACAGCTTGGAGGGACCTTGAAGACATGGCACAATGAAGCCAGTCAAAAAAGGACAGGTTCTGCATGACTGTAGTCATATGAGAGAGTGGTCAGGGGCTGGGCAGAAGGGGAAACAGGGTATTCTATACTGGGTATAGAAGACGTGCTGCATGTAATGTGAATGGACTTAGCACCACTGAATGGTGTATTCATAGTGGCTAAGATGGTGACATATATATATATTTAAAACTACTACAAAGAAGAGGGCCCAGCTCCTCAGTGGCTTAGATGCAGAAGACAGCATATCCAGGTGCACTAGGAAGATAAGGCAGTACATTGGAGTCTGCAGAGGACACCTGGTAGGTACCACAACAGAGGACAAAGGACAGAACAAATTAATTAACTACCCCAGCCAGATGTTGGCATTGAATATCTGGGCAAATGGAGACTCTAAGTTGGACAGTGTCAACAAGTGGATTCTGGAGAGATTTCATTGTGCTTGGAGTGGCAAGATCAGCAGTAATTCAGAACCACTGAGCTATCAAAACCTCTTGAACAAGACCTTAGGAGCATGCCCCACACTGAGGACATTGGGGCAGTGTCATGTGGTTGTCCTCCATCCTGGGGTACAAACGTGTTCAGGAGGCTGAGTGTGGCTTCTCCCCTTCTCCCCTCTTCCCCCAGTTATAGGAAGGAAAAAACAGAATGTGGAAATAATGGTCTCACCCACCTTCTTGTAGCCCTTGACCCTTATCACCTTAATCAACTGTGTATATATCATAAAAAAAAAGATAATTACGAAAACATAAAAAAGAAAGAAGGCCAAGGCTATCAGAGGGGTCTGGGGCCAGGGTAAAGAGCTAGAGGTGGTTCTACAAAGCAAAGACTTCTTTCCTACTGGTGTCCTGTTTGTATGCATGAGTAGAGGGCACAGCACCATTCCAGACAAGGGACACTTCCATCCAGAGTTAGAATATGCCCTTGAGGACCCAGCACCTTCCTTAGGGGAGTCCCTCTCTGAGGACAAATGAAGGGGAGATCCCCCCCATTGGCACCTCCAGGGCCTGAAGAGAGAAGGCAACCCCCAGGACCTGTTAGCTCCACCTATCCAGAAGCAACTCCTTGGGTTGGAGCAGCCAGTTCCTACACCATCTCAGACGTGGCGTAAGCTGGGCACATCTGCCATGCAGGCTCACACAGGCCTCTGGGAAGAGGCACGTGAAGGTGGTGGTATGGACAGCCCAGGGAAGTGGGATGGCCTGAAGTTAGGTGTGAGCAGGCTGAGGCACAGAGGGAGTGGCTCTTCTCCCTCCCCTGGTCCATCTTGTTCTGCCTGGCTGGGAGTGTCTGCCATCGGAAGTCAAATCAGTCAGCCCAGCTGGGGCCTGGCTGCCTTCCGCACCTTCCAGCCCATTTGTGCATTGGGAGAGGGTCCAGGTTGCCCAGGTTGGAGGTGGAAGACACATCTGCAGACATTCACTGCTTACTGTTTTTCTCCATCTTGGGGTGGGTGGCTCAGGGATCCCTGATATTCTGGAGGGGAGGGATGTGGCTGCTTCCTGTACACTTAAGGAGGATCCTGCTTCGGAGTTGTCACTCTCAAGTCTCCATCCTCAGTGGCCCTGCCAGTACCTCTTTCTCATCACCTGCCTCTTCCATCCCTCACCTCCTCTGGCCTCATACCCTCCAATGTGCTGCCTTCAGCTTGTATCTGCTCCAGGAGAAGGGCATCAGCAGGGGACAGAGTCAGCCAGGGATTCCTAGGCTTCCCAGCACAAGCTCCAGGCGCCAGGTTGCAGCAGAGCCTAGCAAGCTAGGCTACAGTTGACCTTGGAGGGCGATGACTGGAGAGGCAATTAAAGCACCCACTTCTACCAGTCTTCACCTGCTTGAGGATATTCCCAGAGGCCTCCCCTAGTGTCCAAGGAGGACCATACCTGGACACACATAGGGATAAAGAGAGAACAGGAAATGCAAATGGGACCATGACCTCAGGCAGAAGGGCGGACAGGGTGCTCAGGTGAGACTGAATCTGAACATTCTGCCCAGGAACAGGCCAGCCACAAGGGAAGAAGGAACAAGGAATGCTTCGTTCCTGCTCCACTTCCCTGAGGTCACATTGGTCATCCACTTCCATATTTGCAGTATGTACAGCATGACACAGAAGTCAAATTGAGGTTGTATTTGAAGTGGGGCCAATTTCCTGGGGATCCATAGCAATTTTTATTATTATTATTATATATTTTTTATTTTAACAATCTTTACAGATCCATAGCAAATTAAAATAAGGACTTGCAAGCCTTCACCTGCCCCCACCTACCTGGGAATTCCCATGCAGACCCTGAAGGCAGGCACATCACTTTTTGATGTCTCCCCACAAACCCCCTTGAGTGAGATGCCCTGGTAGCCTAGAACCGCAGCACCTGCAGTGTGTAGGCTGTTCTCATCTCACCAGGAGGCCCAGGCCTCCTTCCCTGCCTAGTGCCACGCTAGGGCAGTTGCAGCAGACAGAGGTCCACTCCTCCTTGTCCTGCCTGTGATTTGCATGCCAGCAGCTTGACTGCCCTGTGCAAGCTGTGGCCCACATGGAGAGGTGGCAGCAGTAGGTCTCTAAGGGTGAGTCTTTTCCAGCAGCGGGACTGCTTGGGGCCCTGGACCAGACAGGCACCTGAGCCAGGGCCAATGTAGACTTGAGAAGGGAGAAAGCAGGTATGAATTCTTAGAAATCATCCCGTGCTTTCTGAAGCTGAGATTGCTGGTCAACCCCTTGCACTCCCCCTGGAGTTGGTTCTTCTGTACACAGCCCCTTCCCCTGACTAGGCTGCTGTGGAGCCTGCTGCAGCCCAGCTGTGGTGTGAAAACCAACCAGGGGAGGAGAATGAAGACAAAGCGGCCGTTGTTATCTACACCACCTGGACGCAGCCCTGCAGAGAGCCCCAAGTGGCCATGCAGAGGGCAAGGCTGGCCCACTGTGGGCAGGGTGGGCAACCTTGAGGTTCTCCTACAGAGAACTCCCCATGTCTTAGGGACATGGGAATGGAGTAGGGGTGGGGCAAGATGGCAGAGTTTTTCTGGCTCGAATCCTTGTGTGAGTGCTGTTGGTGGGTGAGTAGTGGTGGTTGTGGGGAGGGGTTCTGTAGCTCGCTCATTGAGAAGTTTTGTTTTTGCTCACTTCAGAAGAAAACCCCGCCTGTTACAGATTCCAGTCCACCCTGCTCTGCAAGGGGAGGCAAAGCAAACTGACTCTTCAGAATCTTCAACTGGAGAAGTTTGACTGTGGCAAAGGCCCCAGAAGTTAGCAGCCCAGGCTCTAGGGACAAGTCACCTAATCTGTCTGCACCATGGGTTTCTTATCTACAAAGCTCCTCTCTCACAGGCGACAGAGCAGCTGCCCAAGTACTCCCCAACGACACTCCCATTGTCTACAAAATAAGGCACCTGCTCTTGGGTCACAGCTGGATTTGATCTTTCACCCCTCTGTAGACACCAAACCAGAACTCTAAAAGTTTAAAAATGAGAAGCAAGGCCACAGGGAATGAGGGGACAGGTGGAAATGCTACCCCTGCATCTCCATTTCTCTGCTCCTCCTTCCCCCGCACTCACTGTCCTTGGAAGAGGGGTCACTGGGAAGGAGAGGAAGCAGGAGCTCCAGGCAGCTTCTTAATCTCAGGGTAGGAACAATCTTCACATTAACAGGTTCCAGGACAGAGGCAGCACAAAGGCATTGTGCTTGCACAGACACCACTCCCATTAGCAACCATAGGGATAGGACTCTCCAGGAGGGCTCACATCCAAGTAGCCCAAGTGGACATACTGAAGGAACCATCCAGCACCACCCATCTTCAGTCCCTGCGGGCTGTGGGCATGGGGACAGCAGCTGGCCAGGCTCATTACATTAGTGGGTACGGTGGCTTGACACTGGCAGCTGGCCCTGAGCGCCAGTTCTTTGAGAGATGCCAGGGTCAAGCCACACAGGGGGGACCTCAAAGGGCAAAGATCAGCCTTCCCCTCCAGTACTTCTTCTCTAAGTCCTGAGGACAGAGACTAGCACTTGGCATGCTGACAATTCAGACAGACCCAGCACCTTTAGAGAGCTCTGTGTGCCTTCCTGGGCTTCAAAACCTTTTATCGAGCAACAAGAGTTGATCTCTTGCCAAGCTGGAGGTGCTGGGTAAGCCCCAGCTCACAGTGAGCTGCTGGTAGGACATGTCCCTGGCTCCTGGGTCTTGCCAACTCTGAGCTTCCATCCTCTGCAGTAACTTCGGAAGGAGCTCCCTTTACTCAGGGCAGGCTTCAGAAAGGCATGTGAGGAGCAGATGAGAGACAGTGCTGCCCAGAACTGCCCAGGCTTCATCTTGTTCTCACCCATGGCACACAGCGAGCACTTTCAGGCCTGTTCTGCCGACTCGAAATCACACATCAGATGGCACGTGCCCACCCCGCAACTTCCTAGGGAGACCTGCTATAGGAAGAAAAAGCAACACAAAATACCTTTAGGAGCCTTCTCACTTAATTTGAGACCCTCTTGGCAGCTGAACAAATTCCTGCCCAGCAGGGGGATGGAGGAGAGGCCTGAAACTGATCATTTGGCTACAGGGGCATCTTTGAAATCCCACATAAAAGGGAGGAGAAGGGAGTGAGGCAGGGAGAGAAGAGCCCAGCTGAAGGTCTCCAGTCGGGCTGGTCCCGGCAGGAATGCCCAGGAGGCATGGCAAGTGGCAACTCTGAGCCCTCTCACCTCTGCCAGTTCGAACTCTGGAACTCATTCCATTTCCTAACCAGCACTCCCCAGCACCCACAACTGCCCTGGGGCCACTGGGCTCCCTCGAACCTTCTGCAGAATGCGACTGGCCCGAAAAGCAGCCTCGGCAGTGCTCCAAAGGGAAGCTGCCTTCTAGGAAGTAGCCGCAGGAGCTATGTCCCACAGGCAGGTGGAGGGGAGATGCCTGGGAGGCACAGATGGTCCTGGGATACCCCATCCTAGCTGCTCCTACCTGCACGATGTCCAGCACCATGCCAGCAGCCACGGTCCCGAAGCCCGCCAGGAGGAAGGGAAAGAGCACTTGCAGGCCGATAGAGAAGGAGGTCTCCTTGAGTGGCGAGGGTGGCGCAGGGCCGTGGTCCGTGCTGACATCATCACTGTCGTTGCTCTGGCTCCCATTCTCCAGCAGAGCATCCTCCTCTCGAACCCCCTTGGCATTAGCCCGAGATTCAATCACCACCACCTCCACCCCGGCCCCGTCAGGCCCCAGGAACTCCGAAGGCCCAGCGGCCAAGGGCCCTGGACCATCAGAAGAGCAGGGAGAGGGGGGCGGGCCAGTCCCGTTGCGCTGGTGGGTGTCCTTGGCTTCTGGCTTAGTGGACATGACAGGCAGGAGGGATGGGGGAATGGAGAGAACGCGCCTTTTTGTTGCTTTCCTTCTTCTTGACTTGGAGAAAGGCTTAGTCTTGGGGTGACCTCAGGCTTGAGCACCACAGGACCTCTCCCCCAGGCTCTTGGCTCCTACAAGGCAGTGCAAAAACTGCTCCGCCAACAGGCGGCCCCATCAAGTACTGAGGCCGCAAGGTGATGGGAAGTGAGAGTCCCTCCGGCCAGAGTCCCCAGCCACCCTCTAGGGGTGCAGAGGCCCAAGTCCCGCTGCCCAGCCTGGTGCCTGATTTCTTCTTTGGTTCTCAGCAGCAGGTTAGAACACAGGGCATCCAGAGATAAGGGGGTGCCCTGGGAAGTGGCCCCTCTTGCGTGACAAGAGCTTGAGTTGCAATCTTTCAGAATACAGCCACAGCTTGGGGCTGGGGCTCTTGCCCACTCGCAGCACTTGGCTCCGTTGGCTCCCTACGGTTCTCTGGACACGGCTGCTCCCACAGCAGGGTCTGTTGGCCTTCTAGGCCCTTCCAGAAATCTGCTCCTTTCCTGGGAAGGCCTCGTGCCTCCCTGAAGCTCTGGTCCTTAAAATCACGAGAATCTGTGTGGAACACCTTACATGGGCAGGAAGAAAAAGGAAAACGGAATGTCATGACACAGCCACATAGAACTCATAGTGGGAGACTTCTCAAAGCAGCTGTGAGTTGATGACACAAGTGTCTTTACAGAGCTTGTTCTCTGCTGCTGTTTCCACTTCATTTACTCAACTCCATTCTGGGTTGTTCCATCTGGAGGCCCAGCAGGTGTGCGCCCCACTACTCTCTGAACCGGCAACCACAGGGCTGGCCGCTATGGTCAACAGCTGTGAGATGTGACCAGCCTGGGACTGCAAAGGTGCTGCCCCACCCACTGTCCTCTCAGCACCCTAGGGTAGGCGGGGCACCATCAGGGAGCTCCCTTCCTGAATGTTCAGTAAGGACCCAGGATGATTTAAGGCCCTAGGCCCTGAGAAGTGAAGGAGTAGGAAGACTGGCTGGGCAGTGCTGCAAGCCTGCCAGCCCACGGCCAAGAGCCAGAGACCTACCCACTCCTGCCCTTGAGAGTCAACAGTGTTACAGAAAGCTCAGCCGCTGACCAAGATCCAGCCCTTGGTGTCTACTTCTCTCCCTGCAGGGAGCTTGGCGCTAGGAGAGCCTCCGATAGGCCAGGGGAGTTATCTCTGTGAGAAGGTACGGAGGGTACTGTTGGGAGTTACTAGGCACCCACTTCAGCTCTCTGGGCTCCCCCTGAGTTCTCCGGGGTTACCAAGGGTGGCTTACAGAGGAATTCTCAAAAACAAAATGAAACCGAACAAATAAAAGCAGCAATTAAAAAAAAAAAAAAAGGAGGGCAAACCCCAATGCTAAGTCCCATATGCCAAGAGACATTTGTTCCCAAATGCCAGTGTCTAGATGAAATGCTCCCATCTCCCTTGCCCCAGGGGATCCCCAGGCCTGGATTCCATTTCTTTCAAGTAAGAAACACACACACACACACACACACACACACGCTGACCAGGTAGGACAGACAGGTCCTTAAGTATTCCTAACACACCTCAGTAGCTTCAGCCTGGGAAAGGCAGTTGCTGGCCCATAGAAGTGTCTCCCTTTCCATCCACAAGTCACTTACCACCTCTCTCTTTTTCAGCCTACGTCTGTACCTGCCTGCTCTCCTTCCAAAGACCCTCCCCACAGATCCATGTGCCAGCCCCCAAGTCCACTGCTCCCACACTGAAAAAGTTTCTGGGTCCACTCAAACCCGGCGCCCCAGCTCCTTCCGTCCTTACTGCAGGCCACTGAACCTGGAAGGGGGCTCGCAGCCAGCCAGCCCCTCACCCACTCCACCAGGGGAGAGTATTCGCATGGGCTGAGGCCCTGGGACCAAAGAAGCACCAGAGAGCCCCCTCTTCCCAAGCTGGGACCAGAACAAGGATTCGTTTCAGAATTCTCAGCCCCAGTGAGCGGGAACAGCCATCCCCAGCCCTCCACTACCCGGGTTCAGCAAATGCGCCGTGCGCCAGGACTCCCCCCACCATTCCCCGGCCCCGCCAGGACTGACCTGCCCCTCGCTTGGGCGGAAGGGGGGCACCGGACGAGTGGCAGCAGGGGCCCGCGGTCTCGGGGGACGCAGGGTTCCCCCTCTTCTCATCACTCCTCCTCCTCCTCGGTGGTCGTCTCGGCCCCGGCGTGCGCCCCCTCCTCTCCTCACCCGCAGCCAAGGTGAGCGTCCAACCGCGACACCCCCTTACCCCGGCTGGCTACATTTCGCTTCTGCGTTTCAGGAGGCCGCCGCTCCACTTCCACGAGGGACAGGGCGGCCGGGTAGCGAAGACCCGGACTGGGCCTGGTGTGTGTGGCGGGGACGAGCTCACTAGCCCCCAATCGCTTCTGGCCCGCAGACTGGGCCAGACTGGTTGGCTGTTGCTGGCAAACGTGATCTGGGGCAGACTGGGTGGCACCCCCCCTTCGCCTCCATCAAAATAGATTCCAGACGGACGTCCGCCACAGCCAACCGGCAACGGCAGAGGGGGCGGGCCTGGTCCCGCCCCTTTCCTTCGCTCGGGGCTCAGGAGGTGGGGCACGAGGGACGCGGTGCCGGGAAGGACGGGGACAGGGAGCCGGTTCCGGAGCGCGGTCGCGGGTCCCAGCGCCCACCGGCTGAGGACCCGGGGAAGCTGGCTTGCCGCGCCCCAGCGCCCGCAGCCCTCGGACGGCGCGGGCGCCATCCCGTTTTTGGAGCTCATCCCTTGATGGATGCCCTGGACTGGAAGGGGGACCAGCGAGCATCCCTGTGGAACCCGCGCGCGCCGGCCCTGATCCCGCGGCGGCCGCCCGCAGCCCAGGCAGAACCGAACCCACCTCGCTCTTGGACCCAGCTGCTCCCTAGCTGGCCCGACACCTCGCGCTTCCGTGAGATTCCGCGGCCTCTGAGCAAAATGGCTCGGCGCTGACGAATCCGGCCTTAATAAAGTCCCGGCCTTGAAAGGGGTGGGGAAGGGCGGGCGCGCGGGGGGCAGGGGTCGGCCTCGCGGCTGGGGTCCCCCGCGCGCACTCGGGTCAGGGGCGGAGGCGAGCCTGGTGGCCGTGTGAGACGAGAGTGAGCCTCCATCCCCGTCTCAGTGAAACCCAACTTTCCCTGACGCATCTCGTGCGATCAGAGGGGGTGTTCCCAAGCCGGCCCTTCGCACTTCCGCTCCAGGCTGTCTCCACCTCTGTAGACCAACGCTCTGTGGGATGTTTTTGTGAGGGGTGAGGGGTGGGGGTGTGTGTGACCTCCTCCCACAAAGGAACCCCCTCCCCCAGGGTTTCCCCTCTTGCCGGTGGAACTTGTGCCCAGGGATTTCCTTCCTGCCCCTTTCCGCCCGGAAGGTGGCCCAGGGAGCGTTGGAGCAGACCCCAGACCCTTGAGGGAGATTTGGAGCCCAGCTGGACTCTAGAGAGAGACCCCTGTATTAGGGCTGCGCGCGCGCGCACACACACACACACACACGCTCACACACACACACACACACACACACACACACGCTCACACTGCCACCTAAGCAGATCCAATATTTACATGTATTTACATTTACGTGTATTTACATGGCCCCACCCTGCACCCTGCAGGACACCAGCGCCCCTCCGGCCTTTCCAGTTCCACCTGGAGACAAGTATTTACTAGACTGGGAAGCCCTGGGTAGGCACAGAAGAATCAGGTTTGTAACCAGCAGCTGTAGGACTAGAGACCTGAAGGTCGACCTATCTGGGGATAGTTCAGTCCTGCTCCCTCCAGCCGGCCCCTTTCCCCCCCCCCCCCGTTTAATCTCGCCACGGCACAAGCTGCCTGTGCATAAAATGTTGATTTCCCTCCCATCTCCTTCCCTCTTTCCTTTTTGTACCCACCTGAAAACAGTTTCTCCTCATGGGTCTGTTTGCTTTTTTTTTTTTTTTAAGGAATTATCCTACTGTGTGGGAACCTGACTAGAAATTTACATGTACAGATGAGTAAGCCACCCCAGTGACACCCCCACAGCACCTCTGCCTGCTCAGGAATGAGCTGGAAGCGGACACTGGCATATAGACTAAGCCTCCACCTGTGGTGCTAGCATCTATATGGCACTGGTTGGAGTCCTGGCTGTTCCACTTTGTTCCAGCTCCCTACTAACAGGGAAAGCAGCAGGGGATGGGCCAAATGCTTGGGCTCCTGCACCCATGAGAAAGACCCAGAAGAAGCTCCTGGATCCTGGCCTCCACCTCCTTTTCTTAAAGGTAAACACTATATATATTAAAAGATTTATTTATCTATTTTGTGGAAAGGCAGATTTCAGAGAAAAGAGACAGAGAGAAAGATCTTCCATCTATTGTTTCACTTTCCAATTGGCCATATAGGCTGGAGCTGAGCTGATCTGAAGCCAGGAACCAGAAGCCTCCTTCCAGGTCTCCTTGTGGGTTCAGGGGTCCAAGGACTTGGGTCATCCTCCACTGCTTTCCCTGGCTACAAGCAGAGAACTAGATGGGAATTACAGCAACTGAGACATGAGCCAGTGCCCGTCTGGGATACCACATTTGGAGGTGGAGGATAGTCAGTTGAGCCAAGGCACTGGCCTCAAAAGTGACCACTGTCTTACACTTCAGGCTGGTTTTACCTGCCTGTGAACTTTCTACACCTGCAGCCAATTTTGTGTCTGACTCATCTCACCCAACATTGTTTATGAAATGAAATCCGTGATATGTATAACAGTAAACTTGTTCATTTTCGCTGTACAGGATGCATTACTGGAATGAGCCACACCTGGCCACTCACTGTATTCACAGACATTTGGGTTGTTACCAGATTGGGGTTCTTATGAGTAGTTGGTACCCTTTTGTTTGTGCTCCTATTGGACATACACCTAGGAACAGAATTACTTGGTCAAAGGACAGGCATTTGTTTACTTTAGTGAATGCTTTTTTTTTTTAATTCTCCAATGTGTTCATACTAATTTATACTCCTACCAGTAGTGTCTTTGAGTTCCACTTGCTCTATATTCTTTCCAACACTTAAATTGATCAATCTGAACGGTAAAAAATGTTAGTCATTCTGGTGGGTACATTGTGGTTTAAAATCAGTTAGCCAATGAGGCTGGACTGTGAACCTCTTTCTCATCATTTGGCTATCTCTTCAAGTTGAGCAGAAAGGCCAGTGACTTTCCAAGAATGTTTTTAAACATTCTTTTAAAATATTTATTTAGGGCCCAACACAATAGCCTAGTGGCTAAATCTTCACCTTGTATGTACCAGGATCCCAAATGGGCACAGGTTTGTGTCCCACCTGCTCTACTTCCCATCCAGTTTGCGGCCTGGGAAGGCAGTAGAGGATGATCCAAAACCTTGGGACCCTATACCCATACGGGAGACCAGGAAGAAACTTCTGGCTCCTGGCTTTGGATCAGCTTAACTCTGGCCACTGCAGCCACTTGGGGTGTGAATCAGTGGATGGAAGATTTTTCTGTCTACTTTCCTCTGTAAATCTGACTTTCCAATAAAAATAAATAAAATTTTAAGAAAAAACATTTATTTAAAGGTAAAATGACAGAGTGAAAGTTAGAGATCTTTAATCTACTGATTCATTTTGCAAATGGCTGCATGGCCTGGGCTGGGCAAGGCTGTAACCAGGCGCTGGGAACCCCATCCAGATCTCCCTGTAAGTGGCAAGGTCCCGAGCACTTGGGCTTCTACTTTCCCAGGTACATTAGCTGGGAAGTAGATTAGCAGTGAAGTGACTGGAACTCAAATAGGTGCTCCAATAAAGTTTGGTGGCATTGCAATTGGTGGCTTAATCTGATGTGCCACAACACTGGCCTTTCTGCTCAAATACTGTTTCTGTTTTCTGGGGAGCTTCCTGTCTTGCTGCTTTGTAGTTCCTCATATATCTTACATATGAGTTCTTTGTTGGTTATAGAAATTACACATGTTCCTGTGATTATACAAGTACAGAAGTCCTCAGTTTTAGAAACTTCTGAAGCAAAAGGGTCACTAGGACAAGACAATACATCTCTGTCTCTTTCTTGATCACTACTGAAACTAGCAGCAGGTAGCAAGCCAGCCACGTGGCACACAAAGAGGCGCTTGTGAAGCTCTCCAAGCATCCTGGTTGATCTTTGTATGGCAAGAGTCCCCAAAAGTCACGCAGGCTCTCCCCTGTCTCAAGACACGCCTGCTCAGATGCTCAGAGCTTGTCTGCTCCATGGGCTGAACTCCAACTCTCAAAGGTGGCCCTGGAAGAGTTCTGTTGTCTGGGATTGTTCCTGTTTGCCCTGGGGGAGATTCTTCTCCAGATCTGGCTTTACCTTCCTATGGCCTGTGATGTCTGCTCTGAAGAAGCAAGGCCATTAAGCCAGCGCCTGTGCCTTCAACCCCACAGGCCCGCTGCATTCTATGGCCTCTCTTTCTTTCTCCTCCAGCAACAGTGCCAAGAATGGGTCTGCTTAGGGGCCTTCCAGTGCAGTGAAAGGGATAGAGTTGCTCTAATAATCTCCCAGTGCCCTCTCTCAACTCCCTCAGAAGACATGGTGGCACTTACACAGAGGTGCATCATGGCTCTAGAACTTTCTTTAGAGGATGAGTTTGGACAGCAGCCTAGGTACAGAAG